TTTTTCAGAGTTAAAAAATTCAAAATGAGAATTTGAACAGCATTTAAAATTCTAAATCTGATGAAACAAATGATCTTCCGTATGTGAACTTAAACTGTCACTGTAGCCACACGTTCGTCTCCGCTGTGATGAAAAAGGTGTAAAGATGTGAAAGGTGTAAATTATAATAATATTAATAATTCTCATCAGACTCTGAGCTTCTCTTCAAACCTGCCGCAGTCGTGTTTGTTTCTTTTGGACTCAGGTGGATTTACGAACCTGAAACCAGGAGACTCAAAAAACCCGATCAAACCCGAGACCCTGATGTTCTGTAAACACACTGACTACTTTTAAATACAGTAAATATGTGAAATGTTCCGTCAGTATTGAGTATTTGGCTGTGAATAAACATGTGTCTGTATCGATTCCGTCTCCGAGCTCGACCTGCAGGTTTATTTTAGTCCTTTACTCCACAGATCCTGATCCTGAAGCGAGAGAACGAAGAGGAGGAGGAGGAGGAGGAGGAGGACGAGGTGTAAACCGTCTGCTGAGGCACAGACGTGTGACTTAAACGTGTTGATGAAACCGTGAGGGACAAACTCAGGATCTGAACAAAAACATATTTTACAACAAACGCTTTAAACCGACCGGAACAGAACGTAACCGACCGTAACCGACCGTAATCGACCGTAACCGACCGTAACCGACCGTACGCCCAAGGATCGAAAATCAGACGAATCCAGACAAAAACTAGAACAGAAAAAAACAAGAGCCTCATTTTCCACACGTACAAAAAAGAAAAAACACTGACAGAACAAAACTGAACCTTTTCTGAAAACAAGAGGTTTAAAACCAGGACTAAACCAGGACTAAACCAGGTCTAAACCAGGTCTAAACCAGGACTAAACCAGGACTAAACCAGGTAAACCAGGTCTAAAACCAGGACTAAACCAGGTCTAAACCAGGTCTAAACCAGGACCCAGGAAACTAAACCAGGACTAAACCAGGTAAACCAGGTCTAAACCAGGTCTAAACCAGGTCTAAACCAGGAAACCAGGTAAACCAGGTCTAAACCAGGTCTAAACTAAACCAGGACTAAACCAGGTCTAAACCAGGACTAAACCAGGACTAAACCAGGTTACTAAACCAGGTAAACCAGGACTAAACCAGGACTAAATAAAGTTAAACCAGGTAAACCAGGTAAACTAGGACTAAACCAGGTCTAAAACCAGGTAAACCAGGTGGAGGGAACTAAACCAGGACTAAACTAAACCAGGACTGTTACTAAACCAGGTTTTGGTCTGGACTAAACTGTTAAACCAGGACAGGACTGTGGAAACTGAAACTTTAAACCTTTCTATCTCCATGGAAACCAAACCAGACCCAGTTCCAGGTCAGATACAAATACGTGGGGACAAAGTCTGGTTTTGGGCCTTTAAGGACCACATTCATACTATAATACTCCCTACAACTGTACAACAACTTATGTAACAGATAATACTCCCTACAACTGTACAACAACTTATGTAACAGATAATACTCCCTACAACTGTACAACAACTTATGTAACAGATAATACTCCCTACAACTGTACAACAACTTATGTAACAGATAATACTCCCTACAACTGTACAACAACTTATGTAACAGATAATACTCCCTACAACTGTACAACAACTTATGTAACAGATAATACTCCCTACAAACTGTACAACAACTTATGTAACAGATAATACTCCCTACAACTGTACAACAACTTATGTAACAGATATACTCCCTACAACTGTACAGATAATACTCCCTGTACACAACTGTAACAACACAACTTATTATGTAACAGATAATACTCCCTACAACTGTACAACAACTTATGTAACAGATAATACTCCCTACAACTGTACAACAACTTATGTAACAGATAATACTCCCTACAAAAAGCTGCAGGTGTTTCCCGACTCCTGAATGTTTTTCAATATTTTTTCTGTTTCTGATGTTGTGTTTTGTTTTTCAGTTTCGTCGTCCGTCGCCGTCGTCTTTAACTCGCTCCTGCTCCATGTGAAGATGAAGCCCCTCCCCCGTCGCAGGCCCCGCCCCCTCCAGCCCGCGGCGTGCGACCGGCTGCCGCGGCGCCCGTGATGGACGCCGTCGCCCGCTTCTCAGACATGGGGCTGTTCCAGGACGGCGCCTGCCCTCCCCCCTCCGCGCCGTCGCCCGTCAGAGCCGCGCCGACTCCGCCTCCTTCCTCTTTAGTAGCCCCGCCCCCTGCTCCTCCTCCGGCCCCGCCTCCTCCTCCTCCGCCGCCGCCGCCGCTGCTGCCGGGCCCGGGCGAGCGCTCCACTGGACTCCTGCGGCACAAGAGCGTCCGGAAACTGTTCTGGAAAACCATCCCGGAGCATCAGGTGAGGAGGAACAGGAAACTCCAACCTTCACGCTGACGGTTCCACACGATCAGTGTTGGGAAGGTGACTTTTAAAATGTAATCCCCTACAGATTACAGATTACATACACCAAAATGTAGTTT